AGAGATTTATATATATATTAGTAAATTTGTGTATTTCTGTTTGTACGTATACGTGTACGTACATCTACATACAATCATATTCGTATTCATATTCATATATATATATATATATGGGTATATGACCTAAGTATACATACCTTGACACATTTCTCAATAGCACAGACACCACTTAGACAATACCTGCAGCTCGTGTTGACGTATGCTACTGACGCTTTCGTGTATACAGCACAACACAACCTCGAACATACCTGGACGCTGGCACATGCAGTCTGGACAATAGCGCTCGCCATCGACCTCTTTGAACTGATTGTTCATGAAGGGCTTTCCGCACTCCTCATCCGCACACACACAGCCGGGACAATACTTTTTGCCATCGACCGTCTTAGCTGCGTCTCCGGGGATTTGGTCACACTCAGGGCGTTGGCATACGCAGTCAGGACAGAACCGTAGGCCGTCGACCTCCTTGAACCTGCAGGCAGTGTAGATGTATGGAATGAGAGTGTCTGATTAGTCTGGACATGGTGTCGGCATGGGTCGAACAGGTGATGGGGCAGCCGTAGATAGCTACACTGATATAGACATGCTTTCCCACATACATACTATAGCTGTGTAATACCTTCCCACACACATAATTGTCACTCACGCCTCCGTGTAAGTCGTGACACACACAGGTGGTATATAACACGCAACTTAATGACTCATCCTACATGACTAATCATGAAACATACAGATGGTGGGACAGTACGTGTGACTTGCAATTCAACGGACGTGTCACAAGTGTATCAAAGATTCATACATACACACTTACACTATTAATCTATCATTGACACTACTGTACAAGCTATTTGTGATATTATATTCTACTCAGATACTGTAAACCGCAGTCCAGGCGCATACCACCAAGTCTACAAACACACACACAAACCTACCTGTCATTCACGAAAGGCTTGCCACACGACTTGTCCTGACACACACAGGCAGCAGGACAGTACTTGTGGCCGTTCACAACCGCGGGCGTGCTGCCAGTGTATTTGCCACACTCAACTCGTTGACATGCACAGTCAGGGCAGTATTTGTTGCCTTCGTTATCAGATACATATTTTTCCCCTGCGGGAGAGTAGAGGTTTTCCGGTTTTAGGGTTTAGGAATTTATGAAGTAAGGGTCGCAGGGATTGTGCTCAGTTCATGTAGATACATCTCGTGCATGGAGACTTCTATCTACACCCTAAAACCCTTATGCACGCAGTATGCACCTACGACTGCAGTAAAATAACATATATTTATCCTTGTTCTCGTTAATCAACACGACCTACGAAGTAGTGCCATGAGAAAGAACATCTCACAGCTAACCCACGAATGTTGGTATATTGTCTGCTCAACCAATATACACAACACTCGTTAGTACATATTTGCACAATCACCTACCGACACAAACGCTGGCCATCCTTCAGATTCTCACGAAACAACGGCTTGTTATCTTTTCCGGGAATTGCCTCCTGCAAGACTGCCTCTATCCAGGTGCGTGATTCATTGCATGCCAGGTCCAGATCGAATGCAGATTCATCGGTAAAACTATCTCTGACCTCACCATCGTCCCCATCAGGGGTGGGATGTGCTACTTGTTGTTTGGCCAACATGTTGTGGTTATTCCGAGGATATCAAGTACCGTTACAAACTGCGTAAATGAGAGTTGAGAAGCAGAGCTATATTGGATTTGCGAGAAGAACTTATTGTTTTGTATTCGCTTATAGCTATGTTTAATACTTTGTCAATTCCGTCGTGGTACAAAACTATGCGCCATTGGTTTTAAAACACCCTCCCGATGAGAGGTCTACCGCATGACTCCGCGAATAGAGGTTGTTGGGTTCGGCCGCTCATACAGGTGTAAGATAGAGAGCGTATCCGCAAATCTATTTCGCAGGCGACCAAGGATTTCTGTCCGCGAAAATGCATCGTGATATACTCGAATCTTGGTCGTAAACTAACATCATAAATAAATATATATTTTACTAGGATTATACTTTTTAGAATAGAATAGTACGAACTTGGGGATTGAGTTGACCCTATCTCCAAGCGTTAAATCGGCTTTAGATGTCCGACCCGTGAATATTTTATTAAAATGAGTAAAACTCAATCTAAAGCTGGAAGCCTATGCGTATATACTGTGCATATCCTATGAAGCTCCAAGCCTCTGAGTATAAATTAAAAAAGCTGAGCGCGTGCTGCGGTCCAGTGAGTCTACAGACAGTATTTAATACTACAAGTATTTTACATATTTAGTTTGTATTTAAATAGGAAATACAATATCCGACTCTCCATCAAGCCGACAAAAGAACATAATCGCTTACATCTCATTGGACATATAACTAGCCAGCCACCACCAGGATTTTTAGTGAAAATTCTAAAAATATAGAGATTTTACTTTTGTAGTTTTTTATATATATATAAAACAAAAGGGGGGGTTTAACCACCAGGATTTTTAGTGAAAATTCTAAAAATATAGAGTTTTACTTTTGTAGTTTTTTATATATATATAAAACAAAAAGGGGGGGTTATCATAGCCTTTTGAAAGTTCAATTTTCAGAAAGCTATGATTTTATGTGTATTTAAATATGGCTCTATATTTGCTTCATTACGAAGTGATATTACTATTTATGTGTTATTCACTCTCTAAAACACTTGGATACGTGCCATTGTGTGCTTAACCGTTATTTTACCATGGTCAAAAGCCCACCCAACCGAACCAAACACGCTATGCGTATGCCGCCTTTTCGTACGCATTTGGGTATGTTTTCTGGTTCTGTAGACCTAAAAATATTGGGAATTGGAATGGTTCTGGGATATACCTTTTGGGGTTGGTTCTCTAAAATCGTATCCCCTTGGTACATGGTTGGGGTGTTAACAAAACAAAACCATCAACCCAGAATATCAATGACGTCTAAATGAATGTATGTACGTATGTATTTATATATCTATATACGTACGTTTGGATGTATTTATGTATATATCTATCTATGTATGCATGTATATATA